CAAATCTTGTCGGATTTCGTTGAAATTTCGTAGGTAGGTTCCCAAATATCAGTTTATTACAACACAGTTTATACTAGTTTGATAAACTGGTTTTAAATACATACATTAATTAGTTAGTAACTAAGTTTTGCCTTATAAAAAATGAATATTTGCAATAATTTTTTTTTGTTCCTTAACCAGTGACCATATGCTTAATACATCTAGGATCACATTACAATTCATACCAATAGTGGACCTCATCATTAGATATTACTAATCATCAAATAAAAAAATCACCAGATAAGCTCACTCACGTATTAAATATTATGTCTGAAATAAACACAAAGGCTTGAAAAATTCATCGAAATCATTGTTTACTCTTTGGCTATTAGTGGTATGATAGAAAAATTAATTGATTAACACTGCCTCCGTGTGTATTTCTGCCTTAAAAAAGCTTCGCGCAAAAGCCATTTCTGTTCGGAGGCGGCGTAAGGCTGTAGGTCTGTGGCGTTTTTGTCACAACATGAAGACTCATACTACAAATTGAAGGAGAAGCTCAGCCAAACTTAGCCAATATTTTTATTATACTATTAATATTTACAATGACTAGGAAAAACTTGGACTCAACATGGCGTATAAGTGATGTTTATCTGGTGATTTTTTTTATTTGATCATTAGTAATATTTAATGATGAGGTCCTTTATTGGTATGAATTATAATGTGATCTTAGATGTATTAAGCATGTGCTCACTGGTTAAGGAACAAAAAAAAATTATTGCAAATATTCATTTTTTATAAGGAAAAACTTAGTTGTTACTAACTAATTGATATATGTATTTAAAAGTAATTTATCAAACTAATATAAACTGTGTTCTAATAAACTGATATTTGGGAACCTACCTTCGAAATTTCAACGAAATCCGACAAGATTTGATGAAAATATACCTATTTTTTTATAAAGATGCATTTAAAATCTGCACTTTCCGGAAAAAAACAACAGCGTTGAGCGACCTCTAAATCTTGTTCAAATAAGCTGAAATTTTAGAAGGAACTTGTCTTCCCTATTATCTTCAAGAATCCGAACGTTCCCAGTCGAAATTCAAAAAAGTTCCAATTTTGAATCACCCTAATGTACATACATGGGATATATGTACACATATTAGGGTGGTCCAAAAATTCATGTGAAAAAGTAAAGTGGGAATTCTGAAGAGGAGTTTTGCCGATCGAAAAATATTGATTTTCACTAATTCTATACCATTTCTACGAAAGTTTTTTTTCCTCATATAAAATACATGGAAAACTTTGAGCGCTTTAGGCGACCTGTAAATTTTTTTTGATTTCAAAATAAAAAAAATCGGGGTATATTTTTTCGATTCCGGCTTTACTTGTTTTGGACCACTCTAATGTACATACATGTGTATAGGCGCTGGCCCGATGCAGGCTTGCTTTGCGCGCCTTACTTACTTTAATTTGCTTTGATTTACTTCAAAAACTCGTTTGGCCAAATGACGGCTTGGAACGCTGTCAAAGCTACCAGCTGTGTAGTTAAAAAATTAAGGTCTGTTTCCTTACACTAAGAATCATTTTCCCACAAAATTCCAGAAAACTAAAAAAAATACAAACAATCTGTTCAGGTTTATTTTTAAATTGATGCGAATTTGAATGCATTTCAAAGGAATGATAATAATTATACATATATAGCTATAGGTACATTTATTAAAAACAAAAAAAATCCAATTTTTGAAGAGACGACTGACCAGTAGTTTGACATCATAAATATCGCTAGCTAGCAAGAGAAATTAAGGATTAATGTACTTGTTTTATTTTTTCTCATTTATATTCAACTAGCTTATACCCGCGGGTTTCACCCCGCGCTTTTATACAAATAGGAAAAATAATTTAATGATGTTAGATTTTATTTCTGTGCCCATTTCGTTATAGCTCGTTATTTTTTAAGCGAGTTAAGGTATTTAGGCCGTTTAAAACTATTAAATTATAAAATCTCGTCTGCGCGCTAGGCATACGAAATATATCAATCCCTCTAAGTTTATCTTAAAATGTTTCCAGGTATACGACGCGTGAACGTGTAACCTTCTTGGAGGTGCCACGGCGAGTTCTAATATTTCCAACTCAAATTTAATAACCTGGCCTTCATAAAATACCACTTCTCATTACTGTAGCAAATGCCTCAAGAGAGCTTTAGATTATAAGGCCGAACCCGGCTCTCCCATTTCCATTTAATGAAATTTATTCTGTCTTCCACAAACACTTCCAGGGATATGTGGCAAGAAAAAGTAAATTTGTACTGGAAGTGCCACGCCCCTTTTTCTTATAAAACTAATCTTCTTCCATGAATTTAGAATTGATTTTACATACCCCAGTACCAAGTCCCAGTACCATGAACACCTCTAGAGATAAACAGTAAGAGTAAGTAAGATTTGTACGGCAGGAACCATGTCCCCTTTTCGAATAACGCAAATTCTTCTCTTTGAGTATGGAATTAATTTTGTATACACATCTCGGTGCCAAGTTCCAGTCCTCTGCAATGAACACCTCCAGAGATATGCAGCATAGAAAAATCAATTTGCATGGGAGTTGCCACACCGCCTTTTCCAATAACTCTCATTTTTCTCCATGAGTGTGGTATTAGTTTCACATACATACATGCATACATATGTATTTCCATACCAACCTTGAGTGCTTTACCCCAAACATTTGAAGAGATATGCAATATGAAACTTTCATTCAGTATGGGAGGTGCTACGCCTCTTTTCCAAAAACGTCCATTTTTCTCCGTGCATATGAACATGATTTCACACAGTGTTGGCAAACTGTTAATCTGATTAACGATTAAAATTATAATCGCGTTTGTCGATTAAAATTAATTAGTCGTAATCAACTGTACGATTAATGATAACATTTTTTTAATCGTTAATCGCTGGCTGCGATTACGTTTAATTAATTTAAAACATTAATCGTTAATCCAATTAAAAATAAAATCTGATTAATTTTTCTAGTTTGTCCGAGTTTGAAACCAAACTCCAGTTATAGTAATTATTTTGTGTTTTACGCTTATAAAAAGCACGTAGTATAAGAAAATAATAATTATTGTTATTAGTAATACATAAACTGGGAACTTTTACAAACCTAGTTTGCAAAACGTTTGTTGGTATATATCTTAATGAAAATGCACACCAGATTGCTTAGATTGATGAGGAAACCCGACTTAGCCATACCGGATTAACTTGCTTTGTGTGCACAGGGAAATTCCAGCATAACTTAATTAATCACCAAACTTACTTGATCAAATTAAGAGTTAATGATTAAAAAATAATTTTTTAATCGCGGTTACCATTAACTGTTTAGTCGGATTAAAATTAATCATGATTAACTGTAATCAGATTGAATTTAATCGAATTAACTAACTAATTAAAACATCAATCGATTAATGCCAACATTGATTTCACATACATATCACTATACCAAGTTTCAGTTCTCTCCCACAAATACTTCGAGAGATATGTATGTAATATGAAAATTCTAATTTGTATGGGAGGGGCCTGGAGTTATCGGACTTGCTTTCAGTCTAAGACCATCCTTCCGAAATCCGTAGTAAGTGTACTAAATTTCGCTCTGATCGGAAAACCGGTTAAGGAAGTAGCCTATTTTTCAATCCAGGTCATAAACCATCTTTGAGCAAAATTTCATTTTCAAGCAGGTGGCAATTCTTAAAAAAGTAGCGAAATGTCATGCAAATCTGTTCAGTCGTTTCCGCGTATTAATTTAAATAAAACTTTTTTAACAGGTGGCAACTCTTCCAAAAAATTAGCCTATTTTCCACTGTAGGTCATAAGCTATCTGCTTGCAAAATTTCATGCAAATCCGTTCAGGCTTTTCCGCGTATTAATTTAATTCAACTTTTTTAGCAGGTGGTAACTCTTAAAAAAGTAGCCTATTTTTCAACCTAGCTCATAAGCTATCTGTGTAAAAACTTCCATGCAAATCAGTTCACTCATTTCCGCGTATTAATTAAATTAAACATTTCTAACAGGTGGAAACTCTTAAAAAAGGTAGCCTACTTTCTAGCCTAGGTCATAAGCTATCTGTGTGCAAATTTTCATGCAAATCCATTCAGTCGCCCGCATATTAAATAAATGAAACTTTTTTAACAGGTGGCAACTCTTAAGAAATTAGCCTATTAACCAATCTGGCCCATAAGCTATCTGCGTACAAAATTTCATGCAAATCCGTGTAGTCGTTTCCGCGTGATGATTTCCCAAACATCCAAACATACAAACTTTCACATTTATAATATTTATAAGATAAGATAAGATGAAAGGCAAATTTTCTAAGTCCAGAAAAGGCCCCGAAAATCCGATAAGGCCAAAATAATACGAAATCTATTAAAAAAGATCGAACTCTTTTGATTCGTATGGAGTTTTGCTTTGCTTTAAACGCGCAAAATGTTGTATTCAAAGTTCCTGTAAAATTTGTAAAAATGGACTTAGCAACTTTTCAGCCAGCGATATGTTAAATATAAATATGGAACTATATAATCAATATTATTAAACTTTGAATAACTTATATTATATATATTTTTTTAATTACGTAAGAAAATTTTTGTACATAAAAGTGTGCAGCAGTTTGTTTGAATTGATTCAGAACGGGAACATACCTTTTTGTCAAAAGCCTACGAAACGCTTTCAAATAAAACATTTGCCTGTTTGAAACTCTGAGGCGCTTAAAGCAAGTCAAGCAAAGCTGCCATTTGGCCAGCCTTCATACATTTTAGTATATTCCAAATAACTTTTGACAGTTCTCAAAGCGAGGCAAGCAAAGCAAGCCTGCATTGGGCCAATACCTTATGTAATGTTGCGTAACAAGCCAATTAATTTAATTAGTTGTTTTCTTTTGTTTTGTTAACTCCGTTAAATTAACTGATTTTATGAATTAATACATTTATTTGTAATTTTTTATGGAATCGGCATCATTACCCGAAAAAAATTGGAATCGGTCAGACTCTATGTAGGACCATACATGGCATTTAAATTATCTGCCAATTTCAACCAAAATGTTTGCAATTTATTTGGAGCTCTTAGGCAGTTTTTACCACTTTGCAATTCGGGGCATGTACATGTGCATGGTATTACAACGCTATTTCGTTGTATATTCATGTTTTCCATGCCTCTGAATACACGTAACATTACGTTCATAAAAATAGGCATTATGTCTGTTTCCACATGGCATTTTTTAAATGGCAAACATTTTTTGTCATTATAATGCCTGGTGGAAATTCGGCATAATAAATTTTTTTAGTAATAATTACACGGTGTAATACTGATCATGTACTTTTTAAGTAATCTAGTACAGGTCGTAGAGCTGGTCGAGAAATTCACAAAACTGCGTTTAAAATTTTTCTAACACCCTCAAATTCTCAACTTATTCTTAAAGACAATTTTTTTGCATGACTTCCTGCACTACACAATGTTCAGCTCAGTTATTTTTAACCCAATTTTAAGTTTTTATATGGCTTATGAAAGAAGAATATTTGTAATATTAAAAGATATAATAACTTTTGTGAACACATTGTAAATGTGTAGAAACTTTTTAGAATAAACCTGAAATTAACAGAAATGTTTATTATTTTTTCCACTTCTGCAACATTTTATGCCAAAATTTTAAAAGAAAATAGTCTCTTTTAGCTATTACTTCGAAAAGAATGTTTAATTCCAAACAAAACTAGGTACCATTTATAAAAATCAGTAGACAATTTTGGAAGATAAGAATTTTTTCCAAAATTACATCCATGTCATTTCACAGAAAACTGGAATTAGTTGAAATGAGGTTTGAGGTTTCAGTAGTTCGTATGGAAAAATTTGAATTGGTCTCTATAAAAGATGTCATAACTTCATAATTTTTTTATTGATTTTAATGAGTGGTACTTAGTTTTACTCAGCATTAAACATTCATCCTCAATTAATGACTAAAAGAGATTATTTTCCTTTGAAATTTTGGCAGAAAGTGTTGTAGAAGTGGAAAAAAATAAAAATAGGTCTAAACTTCAGATTTCTTCCAAAATTTTTCCACCTATTTACAATGTGCCCACAAAACTTTTTAATTCATAAATAGTACAAATATTCTCTTTCTATAGCCATATAAAGCTTAAAATGGGTTAAAAAATAACCGAGCTAAAAATTGTTTGGCGCCGAAAATCATGCGAGAATGGTTTTTTAAGAATAAGTTGAGAATTTGAGGATGTTAGAAAAATTTTGAAAACAGTTTCGTGAATTACTCGTCCAGCTCTACGACCTGTGCTAGGTCACTTAAAAAGTTCGTGTATTTTTTTTTTATTTTGTAATACCGTGTTATTGGTTTTGAAATATAATTTATTTTTTTGTATAGGAGCGCCTTGTCTTAGAATAACATGCATATATAATATATATAATATAATATCGTCGTTTAAAGTACAAAACCGCGTATCAACAAAATGCAAAACCGCGTATGTGAGGTTGCATAAATTATTTTTTAGAGAGTAAAAACACTCACATTTCAAAATGCTTCTCTTTTTTATTAAGAAATCGCATTTCTCGCTAGTATATTTCAGGACGAATGGATAACGATTGAGCCAAGAGTTTGTGCGAGCAAATCCAATTTTTGGCAGCCAATGTCAGTTACGCGGTTTTGCAGAATGACGATACGTGGTTTTGTACTTTAAACGACGACGGTTTCTGCAAAACCGCGTAACTGACATTGGCTGCCAAAAATTGGATTTGCTCACACAAGCTCTTGACTCAATCCTCATCCATTCGTCCTGAAATATACTAGCCAGAAATGCGATTGCTTTGTAAAAAGGAGAACCATTTTTGAAATATGAGTATTTTAACGCTTTAGAAAATAATTTCCACAACTTCACATACGCGGTTTTGCATTTTGCTGATACGCGGTTTTGCATTTTGTTGATACGCGGTTTTGCACTTTAAACGACGATATATCTATTAGTCAAGTACTCACATTTTGAATATTTCGTCATATAAAGGAAAACGAGTTTTATTGTGGACTGATGTTTTATATGGTGGTACATTAACGAATCTGCTCGTAGGAAAAAAGTGAATTTTAACGAACGAATCACACGACCCATTTGGGTCCATGGGAACCAAATTTCTGCCATTTAAAATATGAAGCTGAAAGAGAAATTTGAATAATGTCATTAAATTAGATAATATCCATAATTTAGAGTAAAATACGGTGGGCTATATTATCACCACTTGAAGGTACTATAATGGCATTGAACATTATGTCTATTTGAAATGGTCAGAATGTCAATTGACTTAATGATTGTTATGAATTTGACTATAATATATATATCGTCGCTACCATGTCAAACTATCGATTGTGAAACTAGGTACTTTTCAGGAGAGTAAAACTACTGTAAAAAAATGTTGTAGTCATTAGGAAAAATTGCGGGATTCGATACTTTGTTAAAGCCAGTATCTCTACTTCTAAAAAGACTAGAAATTCGAAATTTTCTAACTTCCGCATCATTCCAAACGCTTCCGCAATGCATCGAAAATGAAAAAACCATTTTTCATATTCGATAGTTTGACATGGTAGTGACGATATGGCCATTTACGGCAATTTGGATTGGTTTTATGGCCATTTCAAAAAATTAAATAAAATGCCACTAGTTCCCTACTGAAAATTCTTTCTAATATCAAAATAAAAATAATTTTTCCTAGACTCATAGATTCCTCTTAATAAGTTTTAATTTCAAAATCTTGGCAATGTTATTCAACAATATTATTGGGCTTGAGGGCGTTTTTAACCGACTTCACAAAAAAGAGAAAGGTTATCAATTCGTCGGAATATTTTTTGTATTTATTTTTATTAACTTTTTTTTATTTCATGTATGTTATCGCATAACTTTGAGCCACGTTAACCGATTTCTATAATACTTTTTTTTAAAGAAACGGCGTTACCTCACAGGCGATCCCATATTAATGTCGTTTAATTTTTATATGAGAATTGAAGTTTTGTTTTGTGCTTAAAAATTACTTGGTTAGTGAAAATTTTTAAGGAAAGGCAAAATAAGTGCAACAAAAAAAGGTCATGAAACACACCCGAAACATAACCTAGTGTAGGTTGTAGGTATGATCGAGTACAACAAGAAAATAGGTCCGGTATAGTTCTTGAACCCTCACTTTTTTATACCAAAAAAAAACGTTATTTTCGTACTTAATGCACTTATCTGTTAATAGCTTGACTAGATTTATTAGTCCTGAAACGGCGTCTGTATTTGGCTTATATTTTTCGATCTTTTGTGAAAGCAGCACATAAATATTCAGATGTACATCACACATTTGTAGAATATTATTGCATATCTTTGTACTTTTTGCTCGGGATTTTTATCCGCAAAGTCTGTTATAAACATTCTTAGGCAGGGAAACAGGTGGGGTGCAATAACTCCATACGCAATAAAACCATAATGGCTTTAGTCCACTTCTAGATTGTAAATATAATCATATTTACGGATACGGCCTTATTTCCAACTAGAATTGGATATAAAGCCATTATAGTTTTATTGTGATTTTTAAAATTTTTGCTTTTAAAACATAAAACTAGTTTTTTTCGCAGAAAGGTGGAGGGGCGGCGTGACGTGGCGCGGTGCGGCGCGGGGGCGCGAGGAAATGTGCACTCTCAAAATTAAAACTTACATAAGTAAATATATTTATATTCCAATATCCAAAAATCCGGAAACATCAAATAATAATTTATTTTATTTTATTAATAATAATTTGTATCAATTTAAATAATTCAGTATCATAAGTACACACCTATGTATCTGTTTTAACAAAATCGAACAAACAAGCTTATTCAGTATGGAACAAAGAACCACTAAACCTAACTTCCGCGCCCACATAACAATGTGGGTAATAGCGTAGCCGAGATAGCGGTACATGACTATTCTCTGCTTAAAATTTTGGTAGGTTTCTTTGCTCATAAAACGGAAAACATCTCTGGGTTGGAGTAGTGTATCACTTTCTCAGAACTGTGAACAGGCTTGCCAAATTATGGCAATATCAGTTTTACCCTCATTCTGTTTCTTGGATGGGTTCAACTATTTGCCAAATACCTTAAAAAACTCGTTGCTTACTGGTATAGGCAGAATTTCACCAATTATCTTCGGCGATTCTCTGAACTCCGTATACGCTATTAAAAGTTGTATCCACTGGGTATCTAAAGGGGTATCAAGTGATTGAATTGATGGACGTAAAGCCAAGTTTATAAATCAGATATTTTTTCGAATCGATAATAGTTTCAACAATGGCAAGGTTGTTAAACTATTTTAAATGGCACTAAAAGAAAAATTCAAATGCATACTACATAACAAATGTACGTGTTTACAGGATATATTATTTTTTATTATACACGAAAATTAAAAAGAAAACTTATTTTAGCCATACATATTTCCAGTATATCAGAGAATCTCAAAGTTTTTAACCGCAATTAGAAGACAATAATGGCAAACCCGCAGGGCGCAGGTTTTTGCCCCAGCTCGGCGGCTCCTAGACCCGGACATTGGGCAAGCCTAACCGTGAGATTTATTTCTACCTTACTTATTTATGTACATATGTATATATATATAATAGATATGTGTATGCAAATGAGTGATGTATTACTGGTTTAAAGCACACACAACTTTGTGTGCTACGTATAATATGTACTTATATATGTATGTATATACTAGCTATTATTCTGATCTTTTTATTTACCTGGAAATCTTATTTCAAGTATAAACACTACCAAAAAAAAATGTTTTGCTGCCGTCAAACGCCGCTTTCTTCAATGGTAGGAAAGAAGCCACTTTGGTAGGTTTTTGAACCAGCTCTTTCTAGGAAAGAAGGTTTTTCAGTCGTAACACTGCTGAATAATAAAGAAACACGCCACTGTCAATTAATAGAAAAAATTGTATCCACAATTAGTGTGGCCAGACATACATTTTTAATTAGAACCGTTGTAATTCGAATTATCACTTCTTACACATTTGCAGAATTTTGAATATGACTTTATTTCACTTCTGGTTTGCAAATCACATCATATGGTTTTATTTCGAAAACAAAATGGAGATAAGACCATATGGCCTTATTGCGTATGGTGTTATTGCATCCCACTAGGGAAACAGGACCAATATATCCGACTGCTTTTGAAGCACGAGTGGTATTCAACGGATTGTTTTCAGACTCGGATTTCAGCAAAGCGCAATGCAGTAAATTGCATCCGAAACGAGCTAAATTGTAAAGCGTGCCTTAGAAGGGTTCCACTTTAATTCCGTCTTTTGAGAACTTCTTTTCTTTTACAAGATTCTCGTGGTGGCCTTTTTATTTGGAGTTTATCATATAGAATCCCTCATATAGAGGGTTTCCAGGTGTCCGGTTTTTGACCGGACAGTCCGAATTTTAGTCCGTTCGCCCGGGTGACAATAAAAAAACGGACTGTGGAGTGTTTGATCTGTTCAACGACAAAAGTAAAATCAGCTGCTCTACTGCCGCTACCTGTTTAATATGCTTTCCTCGATACAGAATATTCAACGTGAAATGCGTTGAAAAATCCTGTGAAAAACTAAATACTAGTGAAATTTTTTTAGAAATTTTAACAATAACACTTACAGCACTCGGCTGGGTATTGGACCAAACCAACTTTTTTAAGAGATTGGGTCATAAGTAAAAAAAGTAAGTTCTCCGTTTTCGAAGTTAGCCTCCAAAACCGGGATATGGGCCTTCGAAGTTCGAAATTGGACCTTTGGTAAAAAATTATTTTTAATTATTGCATGTAAAAAGCAAAAAAAGTAAAAATACAGACGTGGTCCGCCTTTTTCGCTTATTTATATGGTATACAACTTTTCTTGTGAAAACTTGTATTACAGGTGCTATAACGGGTCAAAGGTCAGATCTTCGAAAAATTAAAAACTTAATATTTCAGATAATTTTGGACTGATTTTTAAAAGATTTATATCGTTGTAAAGCTGATTTAACTCCCTTTCTTGTCATATGCATATTTGTCTCAAATTTTCTTTCACGAGTAGGTATATGCATATCAGAAGAAAGGGGGGTTTAATCGCCTTTACAACGGTACGAATCTTTTAAAAATAAGTTCAAAATTTTCTGAAATATTATAATCATGAACGTCTAAGAAAAATCTAATTTCGATTCATACTCACAAATACCGATCCTGCAAAAAACGGCTGACCATACCGAAAAGAAACTATCGATTGTACGCTCAAATACATATGTACATACATACATACATACATCAAAGAAAATTTTACTTAATTGTAAGCTGCGGTGCAAAATATAGAAGAAGTCGGTGAATTTAAAGAAACAATTAATAAAATGCAGTGCATTTAATTTGTATATAAAAATGAGCAAAAAAACCTTTTTTTCCTATATGTGAATAGAGAAGAAATTTGAGCCAGTGCGTTTAGGCCGACTTAAAAGGCAGTGACTACAGTGCTGAAATACAATTCAACGCCAACGTGGCACTTCAGCAAAACCTAGGAATGGGGCCAGAAGGACCAAACGGCGATGAGGAATTTCTTTTTAGTGACGAAAATTCAGACCCCGAAGAAAAATTAGAAGAATAGTCTGAGCTCAGTAGCTCCGAAAGAGCTTGCGAAATTAAGTTAATTTTCGACAATATATTTACACAAATAAAAAAACACATAAACAAAATCAAATTGTATTTTACAACGCTTTTATCACAGTCGTCCGCTTACCATTACAAGCAGTGCGCGCTTCCACTCCGCTGCACCTGTGTTCAAACCCTGGTCAAAGCAACATCGCAAAAAATATAGAAAAAAGGTTTTTTCTTAACAGCGGTCGTCCCTCGGCAGGTAATGGCAAACCTCCGAGTGTATTTCTGCAATGAAAAACACCTTCTCGTAACAATACAATCGCCGTTCGGAGTCGGCGTAAAACTGTAGGTCCCTCCGCTTTGTGTGACAACATCAAGGCGCACGCCACAGATCGGAGGAGAAGCTCGACCAAACAGTAACATATGTGGAAGCGCCAATCTATTATTATTATTATTATTATTTATCAACTTGCAATGTTGTGGCTCCAGAAACGTTCAATTTTGTGGATCCAGAAACTTTCAATGTTGTGGATCCAGAAACTTTCAATGTTGT